GAAGGACCTCAAGGTCCATACACCCTAATGCATTAGTGATTAATGTTTGTTTAATTCCTAGCACACCTACTCCCCCAGTCTATGGGTGTATTCAAAATGGCACCATATTCCCATAGGGCTCTGATCAAAAGAAGTGCCCTATGTAGGGAATCGAGTGCCATTTGGGATGTACCCTATACATGGCTCAGTGAGACTGGAGATGTATAACACACAGGTCTGTAGTCATAGAATTTATGTCTGATTTATACTTTTTTTTATCTACTAACTGAATAGCCTATTTACAATCGGAACATGCATGAAAACATGACTGTAAATATAACAGTTTATATATACAGAGACACACGCCTGCACACATTGCTACCTAGCATCAGGAGTGAAGAACACAGAAATATGATATTCCACCCATAGAGACATGTCATAATAGAGATGTTTCTGATTGGCTAGAAGGGCATTCTAGAATATAATAACTATATTTAATTATTTGGTTCAATCAGCACTGTCTTTGATGTCTCATTTAAACAGAACACTAGCTGATGCTGGTCTGCCTGGTCCAACATGGCACCCTATTCCATATATAGTGCAGGGAAACCTCTAAACATAGCTTTATTGGTGGAATAGAACCGTCTCGTATGTCCACGTCTTCTCATATTTTTTATTGGAAGACGTATGGGCCCTAACGTGCTCTAACATGCCAACTGCATCATTTAGCAGTTGTAAAGAAAGGTTGTTAATGCACAGCATGTTTTTGCTCCGTCCTTGTCCTATTGATACAGGGTCAGGGGCTGTTTCTAAACGTTAACGGCATCCGCGGGCCTTTGTGAAGTCAAGGCCAGACATGAATGCATCTTTCATAATTGACAAGCCAGTGCACTTCCCTGAACCAATTCCAATGTTTTGGCTGTAATGTTCTACTCCAAGGTGTGATGTTTGGTTACTACTTCACCTTGCTTGTTAGTTTACGTCATGTTTGTTCTTCTGTCAGCCCACTGATCAATGCTAGCAAACAAATCCAACTTGCTAATGCAAGCACCACAATAGAATCGTCAGTGTTATTTGAAAGAATTTGGAGGTTGTCCTCGAGCTACACTAGATACTGTACCTAGCCAACTGGACAAGACTGGTCAAATCCATTCTGAATGTGTTCTTCTCTCTCACCCACTGATCAATGCTAGCCAACATATTGACAGGTTTACATCTTGGTAACACAAGCATCACAGTTGCATCATCAGTGAGAGTTGGAAGAATTCGTAGACTGTCCTTAAGCGCTACAGTACACTAGGTATTTGCTGTACCGCTGAACTTGCCAGCTGGACAAGACTGGTCAAATCCATTCTGAATGTGTTGCAGACCACCTAACCTACAGTAACCAGAGTCTGGGAACAACTTCATTCCCCAGATGTGATGCCATAGATGTGGTGAGCAACACCAGTTGCAACAGGCTCCAGTTCAGGAGAAGTCAGAATTGGGAAAGCGGTATTACAGCATCTTTTCAACCATACAGTGGGGAAAAAAAGTATTTAGTCAGCCACCAATTGTGCAAGTTCTCCCACTCAAAAAGATGAGAGAGGCCTGTAATTTTCATCATAGGTACACGTCAACTATGACAGACAAATTGAGATTTTTTTTTCGAGAAAATCACATTGTAGGATTTTTTATGAATTTATTTGCAAATTATGGTGGAAAATAAGTATTTGGTCACCTACAAACAAGCAAGATTTCTGGCTCTCACAGACCTGTAACTTCTTCTTTAAGAGGCTCCTCTGTCCTCCACTCGTTACCTGTATTAATGGCACCTGTTTGAACTTGTTATCAGTATAAAAGACACCTGTCCACAACCTCAAACAGTCACACTCCAAACTCCACTATGGCCAAGACCAAAGAGATGTCAAAGGACACCAGAAACAAAATTGTAGACCTGCACCAGGCTGGGAAGACTGAATCTGCAATAGGTAAGCAGCTTGGTTTAAAGAAATCAACTGTGGGAGCAATTATTAGGAAATGGAAGACATACAAGACCACTGATAATCTCCCTCGATCTGGGGCTCCACGCAAGATCTCACCCCGTGGGGTCAAAATGATCACAAGAACGGTGAGCAAAAATTCCAGAACCACACGGGGGGACCTAGTGAATGACCTGCAGAGAGTTGGGACCAAAGTAACAAAGCCTACCATCAGTAACACACTACGCCGCCAGGGACTCAAATCCTGCAGTGCCAGACGTGTCCCCCTGCTTAAGCCAGTACATGTCCAGGCCCGTCTAAAGTTTGCTAGAGTGCATTTGGATGATCCAGAAGAGGATTGGGAGAATGTCATATGGTCAGATGAAACCAAAATATAACTCTCTCACCCACTGATCAATGCTAGCCAACATATTGACAGGTTTACGTCTTGGTAACACAAGCATCACAGTTGCATCATCAGTGAGAGTTGGAAGAATTCGTAGACTGTCCTTAAGCGCTACAGTACACTAGGTACTTGCTGTACCGCTGAACTTGCCAGCTGGACAAGACTGGTCAAATCCATTCTGAATGTGTTGCAGACCACCTAACCTACAGTAACCAGAGTCTGGGAACAACTTCATTCCCCAGATGTGATGCCATAGATGTGGTGAGCAACACCAGTTGCAACAGGCTCCAGTTCAGGAGAAGTCAGAATTGGGAAAGCGGTATTACAGCATCTTTTCAACCATATATCAACACAGTGTTGCTCTTTATTATTATGTTGAAGAAACACGTTTCCTCATTCTTACCTAGATCAGGGCCTGTATCAGATGCACATTGCAGAAACTAGACGACTGCATCTGCTCTAAGTGTGCAGAGACCTTTTTCTTCAGTACACTTACACCTTACAGTAGCTACTTTGTCAAATGTATGGTAAATGTTGTTAATGGTTTGCCTTGTTCTTGGTGTCCCCCATCCAGTTTGCGACCCACCTGGTGAAGGTTAACTACCCTCGGGTGACCACCCTGGACGGAGGCATCAACAAGATGAAGCCCACAGGAATCCTCACTGTCCCCTCCCCCCAGATCTGATCAGAGACCACACCCACCAGCTGCCAATCAAACTATGCCCCGCCCACACAAACAAAAGGGAACCGCTCATTCTTTGTCTACCAACAGGCATTGTTTTTATAAAACTAAAACTTATTGTAAGAAAAAGTATAAAATATTTGCTTGTGTTTCTGTATATTGTTTTAGATTTTATCATTCGATGTAGCAGTCCCTCTTTATTTATTACTCACGTTGCAGTACTGTATGTATGTATGTATGTATGTATGTATGTATGTGCTCAGAGATGTCACAGCATTAAAATGACTGAGATCAGCTCCTCACTGTACAAAGTGTCTGACTTCTGTTTGCATAAGAGATAAGAAAGTGGATTGGAATCATTGGAAGAGATAAGGGAAGAGGTCGCATTGATAAAATCTTGAGGTCTTCCGTCTCATCATAAAAGAGAACTCAAAGGTTGCGTTGATAGTTGGCACACGGGGGTGTTGCATCGAAGGCATTGTACTACTCACAGTTCATGTTTACTATCACTGCTCAGTGCGTATCTAAGTGTTTTCATGTTAAAGTAGTGTAGTGTATTTACAAAGTTGAATCTTTAAAATCAATTGTTACAACCATATGGGCCTCTCATATACTGTAGATACACTAAGCTCGCTGTAAACCTAGTTCCATGATAAAGACCTTATATATTGGTTTGACCCGTTTGACCTCAATCCTGACCCTGTCTACCCTGCGCATGTGTTTGTCCTGCAGGAATTCCTGTATTATGTACACAGTGTAGGTTATCTACAGATTCCATGTGTAAATACTGCAGTCCCTGCAACTCCATTTCTGAACAGAATCCCAGCATACTGTATGCAGTGCTGGGATTTGTCCTTTTACGACCAATAGAGATGTCCCGCATCCCGTCCCAGTGGGCAAAAATTCTGTAATTTTCTGGATTTCGACTGGCTTTCTGGTTGAGAAGACGTCATGCAACCAGGTAAAGATGTACTTTTCATGACGAAATGAAGACGTTGTTATCGGATCTGTTATTTTGGTTGTTATCGGATCTGTTATTTTTCTGGTTGCTAAGAAGATGTAAATGTTAAATAAAATGTATTTAATTGTATTATAATTATTTGAACGATATGCTGTCCTGGGGGCTATTCTAGTAGTAGTGCTGGACAACCCTTTGTCCCAGGAGGCAAGGGTTCGATTCCCGGCTGTGCCACTTTCCAACCTAGATCTCTTTCTTCAATCTCCCCTACTATCTCAACTACCTCTACCCGGTAGCTATCAACAAAAACTATAAAAATACTGGAAGGAGAATACTTCAAGAGAATGGAATTCCATACCATAGGCTAACCTGACCTGCACTTTATCTGCTTCCTGAAGTTACCAAGTAAAGGTGCCTAGTTGGAATGTTTTTTTTTGTAAAATGGGCAATCCCTACTTGGTCTGCTTAAAGTAACATGCTTTCCCACACCTTACTGTATATTTACAGTGGCTTATGTTATTCGGCAACCCTTTTTCATCAGCAGTGGGCCGCACCCAGTGGAGGCTGGTGGGAGGAGCTATAGGAGGACGGGCTCATTGTAAAGACTGCAGTAAATGGAACAGCATCAAACATATGACAACCACGTTTGACCCCGTTCCATGGATTCCATTCCAGCCATTACGATGAGTCGGTCCTCCTATAGCTCCTCCCACCAGCCTCCTCTGGCTTCACCTATCCTATGGAATTTGCCATGAAGGATATGCGATAAGATGCGAGTTAGTGATGCATATTGACCGGTATGTGTCCTGCCAATAGAAGCGCCATGGACATTGCATCATCAGTGTGAGTAGGAAGGACTTGGAGGCTGTCCTTGAGATACTGTACCGTATAGAACTCAATATAGTAACTGTACAATACTTGTGAAATCCTGTTTGGATATGTTGCAGACCACCTAAACAGAGTCTGTGACAACAACGCAATGTCCCACATGTAACTTGCGTTGCAATGCTGAGCAAACGTTTAACCGCATGCCCTCAGAATTGGGCAAGTGGTGTTACCACACCCTTTCAATCATGTCTCAACCATTACAAGCAGATTCAACCCTTCTACTGTGTGTTTACAATAGGTGATTGGGCAACGCTTCGCTATCAACAGTGCAAAAATGTGTCATGCAGGATATGCAGGAGAATGCAAGGTCAATGATGGGAAGTACCACCCAGATGTGTATATATGGTTCTGCACACACCTCCAGCCAGGTATAAAAAGAGTAGTAGTGGTGATCATTACATGCATGTTAAGGCACAGTTAACAAGGTACTACAAACTATCAACCAAACAGGTAAGGGAACTAAATGTTTTATTTTTGATAACATGGGAGACATTTTCATCAATCAAAAGAGCACAGATGTGTGCATAAAATACTGTTAAACTTGATCTACAACGTGATTTCATGTTTTATTTTCTTCAACTAAGTGTAGAATGAGGAGGCTATTATTCAACCAGAGATCAGTGTTCTGAGTGATGAATACAAAGCACACAATGCAATTGGTCTTTTCAGTATTTTGGATAATATGTACATTGGATAAGCATATTACTCGTGTCTATTTGAAATGTTATGGTTAATTCGCAAACTGCCATTTGCTCATGCAAAATGTCCCCCTACGTGTGTGTATGCATTAACTGTGGCTTTGCAAGTTTGTTATAGTATAGTGGATCAACATATATCATGCAAGTCTTAATGTTTGCAGAAAGGTTTGCACAAAATATTTGTAGAAATGTTTGCACCGTCTACATTGAATGAAATGTTGTTTGCTGTGCAGTCTCAGTGAGTGCAGATAAGCCTATCGTAGTGCTGTTGACATCATGCATGCTGCCTATATGGACCCCCTGCTTTTCAGAGTCAAAATGGCAAAATACAAGGTGACTGTGCACACACACAACATCGCAACTGCCACCACGATGAACAACGTCTTCATCAAGCTGGTTGGCGAAAATGGAGAGAGCAAGCGCACGTGGCTCACTAGCTTGAAGGGAGGCTTCTATCAAGGCACGGTAAGTCAGTCATGTTCCTATCAGTACTAAGATATATTTCCCTTTAAAGCTAGAATCCTTAATTGAAACAATAACAAAGTGCACACCCCGCCTCTGTTTTGGCAAAAGGCTGAGAGATGGGCTTGTAGAAATGTCACCATTCTCAAATTCATAGACTTAGCTATGGATGCAAGAACTGACCATCCATTATATAAACATGTATAGTTCTAACCATGTTTTGTGGCTATAGCTCAGTGTTTGTTTACATTTACATTGTTTTACAAACATTGGAATAAAACAAGCTTATATGTTAGGTTCTGATTGGGTACGACAGTTGAACTAAGCTCATGAGGCAATTATAAGTTATATTCTTCAAGAATCTATGGGTGTATATATAATTAATTTATAAATCCAAAAAATTGATGTAGCAACTAGTGATTCTACCTTTAATAAGACTTGCCATTTGCATTTTTCAAATACTGTACTCAAAGCACACACAATATATATACATACACATATATTGTATATGACATGAAGTCTTAGTTGCCTTTGTTGGGCCCTTATGTAATAATACTGGTAGTACAGGATTAGTTATATTTGCCTGTGTTATTTGCTTTCTCACACAGTCCAGGTTCCTCTTTCTCTCTTTCACACACTCTCTCTCTCTTTATCTCTCTTTCTCTCTTTCACTCTCACTCTCTCTCCCCCCTCCCTTTCTTTCTCTCTCACTCCCTCCCTCCCTCCATCTCGTTTTCTCATTCCCTCCATCTCTCTCTCTCTCTCTCTCTCTCTCTCTCTCTCTCTCTCTCTCTCTCTCTCTCTCTCTCTCTCTCTCTCTCTCCCCTGCTCTCTCTGCAGGCGTCTCGTGAATTTGACGTGGAGTGCCCCTCCTCCCTCGGCACGCTGGTGCTGATAGAGCTGGACAAACAGACCCTCCCGTTCTTCCCCCAGGACGCCTGGTTCCCGTCCAAGGTTGTCGTGACGACACCAGAGGGAGACAAATGCCAGTTCCCCATCTACCGTTGGATTATGGACAAGGAGGTGCACCTGTTCAGAGAGGGCACAGGTCAGCACCGTGTGACGTTATAAAACGACATCACATAGACATGTTAGAATGAGCAACGCATAAAAAAAAAGTGGATACGTGCAGCCATTGTGAGGGGCGGGCACTTTCATTGTGTATGCACGCTGTCACTAAGTTTTAAAAGCTACTTTGCCTCTTAGGGTCACCGTACATACAGTAACACATGCAACACTGCCGCTGAAGTATTACTGCAATAATACAATGACGTGTGATTAACGTTTCCACTTGATTGATTATTTTCTATCTTTTTCAGCTAAAAGACTCTGTGATGAAACGAATCATCTTGCCAGGTACAGCAGGGAAAAAGAGATGAAGACGAGAACTGAGCAGTACTGGTAGGTGCTGTGGTGTGTGTGTCGTGATCTTTTGGCCTAGCTGCTCAGTCTGTCCATTTTATCTGACCAACCTCCATATATTTCCTGCTCCTCCTCAGCTGGGATACCTATAAGGAGGGTTTCCCCGGCAGCATGAAGTCAGACAACCCTCTGGATCTTCCTTGCGAGGTCCAATTCTCCTTCACCAAGGCCACCCAGTTCCTCTTCACTGCCGCCACTGGGTGAGTTCCTCACCTAAGCCAAATTTATGCCCGATTTGAGTACACAACATGAGAATGCAATGTGCTACTCATAATGGCTTCCCAATGTGGTTATGTGGTGAGTTACAGAATGAGGAATTGGCGTGCTCAACTCAAAGGCTTGTAGTAACAAAAAGTATTTGGGTGCCGAGTTCAAAAGGCATAGACTAAGGGGAAAAAACGAAAAACCCTCACTCACTAAAATATTCTTTACGTTTTAATGTCTTTTTAGGCAGCACAGGTTGTCAACAATAGTAGAACATTGTATGTAAATAATGAATGTAAATTCTGATTGTGAAAAAAGATTCTACAATGTTTCATCATTTATAAATATGTGTGAATGCCTATTTTTCTCCAAATGCTGACGAAGGCTGTCGCCCAAACGTGTCCGTTTGCTCTGACCTCTCCTGCTTATAATTACATTCAAATGTAAGAATATTTCACTGCGGGTTTGAGCTTTTTTCCTTTGTCCAGTATGTGGTGAGATGAACATTTTGGGCTGCACATGCTTGCATATTTTTGCGACTATGCAGGACAGCCATTTTTGCGTAGCTAATTGAGTTGCGTATGTCGGGCATAATTCATCCTCTAAGGACAGTTCAAATAGTACTTCCTGCAGCAGATCATCAAAGCTCTTCTAAAGTACGCCATTCATTTATATTGTTTGGGATAATGCCTGGGTTTTGAATTTGCTCTGTGAAACCCTATTGGCTCAGCTTGACATAGTTCCTTGTCTCCCATTCTGTAGGATCACTGAGCTGAAACTGAAGGGGTATTCTGACAGCAAGAAGAACTGGAAAAACATTGATGAACTCAGCAAGGTCTTCTGCTGCAATAGAACAGTCATCTCGGGTGAGTGCATTTAACTAGAGCATTTGCAGTATTAACTCCAGGGGCCTGTTTATTAGGTGGTAAACATTTTGAAACAAAGTGAAACTGGGAAGTAATACTACTTGAATATGTCCAATAAAAATATACATATATACTGAAAACGACCCTTGTTTACTAGGCACCATACGGAAGAAAACAGACTGAAACAGGGAGGGAATACCTGTCCAATAAGAAACGCTTGATTTTGTTTTCTGTTGAAAAGGTTTTTCTACGGTGTGCACTAATTAATACGACCCAGAACATATTGCAGTGAAACTCAATGAATTTCCTCCTTCCAGACTACGCACAGGCGCACTGGAAGGAAGACGAGTTTTTTGGGTACCAGTATCTGAACGGTTCCAACCCAATGTTGATCCGTCGCTGCTCTGAGTTGCCTGCAAAGTTCCCCGTCACAGAAGACATGGTCAAGCCCTCTCTTCGTGGATCGTCCAGCCTCCAAAGGGAATTGCAGGTACTGTACAGTACGTCAAAATGGGACTCTTCAGTAAAATAAATGTTCACATGAATCGTTGAAAGTTGCCTAAATTATTGCAGTACCACTTATAGTATGAGGGGGCGCTGGACTAGGGGCAGTCCTCTTGGACCTAGATGACTATCTTGGATATTCACAATTATCAATGGAAGTCAATAGAGATCCCTTTCTTAGATGTCCAGACCTCCACTTTCTTGGACCATCAGAGGCATGTACCAGATTTTTTTTTGGACCTCCAGATTTATTTTGTGGATGTCCATCCAGTATGTTCCTCAATAGCTAGGTTTCCATCCAATTGGCGACAGATTTTCATGCGAATATTCTCAAATCCGCATAAAAACAATATACACATTTTCCCACCAGAGATGTTTCCATCAAATTGACCTGTTGCGGATAAAAGGCTGTGTGTGATGATGTAGTGCACATAAAAATAAATTTTGTGGTTAAATTCCCAAGTGAAATGGGTTTCCATTGCATTTTCAACTCTACTGATGGTTTTGTCACACATTTTTTTTCTGTTATATAGTGAATGTTCCCACTCTTGGCACGTGTGCTCTAGCCAACAGCTTGCAGATACAGTGCAGGTGTAGCCTACATGATGAGATTATTATGGACAAAAGAGCAATATAATTTTTATTTATCAATGGCAGCCAAGCAGCATTGGTCATCATGTCACCAGAAAAAGACCCTGGATATTTATTGGAAAGGAGCATCAAGCTCATCTCTGTGCACTTTCACTACCCTGTGAAGTTCATCATAATTTACTTCTGTAGTAAATGTAATCTGTAGCCTAATAAATTGATGGTTTTCCAGAGTCGTAGTGGGAGGACCACACAACAAATCGTTGTGTGACTCCAAGTTTACTTAGATATAATGGTTATTATATCAATTTTTGCGCATAAAAGCACCATTCCACCACCATTTCACGCATAATACGTTTTACCGACACAAAAATATCCAACCTTCTCTAGCCTATTTTGTTTTGTCGACATGCTGAAAGTTTACAGACAAATGTTCTGTTTCCATCAGGCCTGTGGTGACCTTTCCTATCCGACATGTACTTCACTCGCATAAAGACGTTGGAGGGAAACCTGGTTCCTGAAAGAATAAAAAACATCTAAGAAAGTAATCCCAGTATTATTTTCTTTGATGTTTTTGTGGGGGATGGTAACCCTAAAATCCAATAAAGTAATCGCAAACATAACTTTATTGGATATTTTTTGGGATAATCCACGTAAAACACACAGCTACAATATCTTGCCCATTCCAAAACACCAAGAAAGTTAACCGTTATCCTAACCTGTTGCATTTTTGCATTCTATTCTACAGCAGCTTTTGGATTTATTCTCCCATGTCATCCTATCCAAAACAGAGCGGCAACATATTCCTGCTTGACTACAAGAACCTGGATGGAATAAAGGCAAACGTGATCAATAGGAAAAAACAGTACATGGTGGCTCCTCTGGTCCTGCTCTACAGAACCCCCGATGACAAACTGATGCCCATCGCCATCCAGGTAAGGTTGATGTAACTAACGTTGGAGTGTAGACCACAGCCACGGAGACCATTAGAAGTGAGAGAGCGTGTAAACCCATCATGTTTCAATCTTCCTCAGAGAGCCCACATACCAGGGGAGGCTGGTGGAGGTAGAAATGGGGAGGACGGGCTCGTTACTACCGTTCCATTCTTTACGTTCCAGCCATTACGACGAGCCCGTCCTCCACATGTTTCCCTCCACCAGCCTCCACTGTATCTGACAGTGCCCAAAGAAAATATTTTTGATAGTGTCTTCAAATGCTTTTAATTAATGCACCACTACACACTTAAAAAATAGGGTTTATCAAGGGTTCTTTGGGAAGGGTGATGGTTTTATGTGAAACCTTTGAGTCCTTCAATGCTTCTTTGCAGTTCAGAAAAGGGTTCTTTCCTCTTTTAGTGATAATTCAAACGTAGGGGAGGGCAGCTCATAATTGTTTTGGGGGTGTGGTTTGCTCAATGCTCTTTTTGAGTGAGAGCATCATTCCAGTTTATCTTATCTGTTGTGTTATTGTAACAGTTTTTCTTCCGTCCCTCTCCTCGCCCCTACCTTGGCTTGAACCAGGGACCCTCTGCACACATCGACAACAGTCACCCTCGAAGCACCGTTACCCGTCGCTCCACAAAACCAGAGCAAGGGAAACAACTACTTCAAGGTCTCAGAGCGAGTGACATTTCACACCAGTTACATTATTATGCCATTACATGTTAAATATGACTATGGCCAGTGAAAGTGTCTTGTGAAATAAGTAGGGAATAATCAACGAGGGGCTATGCGTTCTCTGGAAAATAAGGAATAATGAGGTGTGTTCCACAACGCGCTAGAATGCATAGAGCCCCGAGTTGATTAGCCCCTGAGTTGAAACCCTTTCATACCATGGCTAGGGGCGGCAGGTAGGAGCATTGGGCCAGTAACCGAAAGGTTGCTGGATCGAATCCCAGAGCTGACAAGGTAAAAATCTCTCATTCTGCCCCTGAGCAAGGCAGATAACCCTTTGTTCCCCAGGTGCCAATGACGTGGATGTCAATTAAGGCAGCCCCCCGCACCTCTCTGACTCATAGGGGTTGGGTTAAATGCGTAAGACACATTTCAGTTGAATGCATTCAGTTCTCTGTTGTTATGTACTTGAAAATGTATCAATTGACCATTTGGGCATACTTTATACAAAATAGTCCAGTATTGCAAAGTTTCACTGGATCAATCTGAAACTTTGCACACACACTGCTTTCATCTAGTGGCCAGAATCTAAATTGGTCCTAAACTGCAATATTATATTGTGGCCTTTCTCTTGCATTTCAAAGATGGAACTTATTTTTTGGGAAAACGCATGTTTTTTTGTTTGTATTATCTTTTACCAGATCTAATGTGTTATATACTCCTACATTTCACATTTCCACAAACTTCAAAGTGTTTCCTTTCAAATGGTCCTCTGTAGCTCAATTGGTAGAGCATGGCGCTTGTAACGCCAGGGTAGTGGGTTCGATCCCCGGGACCACCCATACGTAAAAATGTATGCATGCATGACTAAGTCGCTTTGGATAAAAGCGTCTGCTAAATGGCATATTTATATTATTATAATTATAAGAATATGCATCATATTCTTGCTTCAGGTCCTGAGCTACAGGCAGTTAGATTTGGGTTTGTCATTTTAGGCGAAAATAGAAAAAAAGGGTCAGATCCTTTAGAGGTTAAACAGTGATTATGTTGCTGTTAGCCATCTATGGGGTCCCTAACACTCTATCTCCCCACAGCTGAAGCAGGAGCCTGGAGAAGACAACCCCATCTTTCTTCCTACTGACTCTGAGTATGACTGGCTCCTGGCCAAGATCTTTGTGAGGAGCGCCGACTTTCAAGAGCACCAGCTCAACGTCCACCTGCTGCGCACTCACCTCCTGGCTGAAGTGTTCGCCGTAGCACTGTTGCGCAACATGCCCATGGTGCACCCCCTCTACAAGGTACATAACACAGCATAGCATAACATAGCATAACCACGGGAGGTTGGTGGCACCTTAATTGGGGAGGACGGGCTCGTGGTAATGGCTGGAGCGGAAAGAGTGGAATGGTGTCAAATACATTTACATTTACATTTACGTCATTTAGCAGACGCTCTTATCCAGAGCGACTTACAAATACATGGTTTCCATGTGTTTGATGCCATTCACTCCATTCCAGCCATTATTATGAGCCGTCCTCCCCTCAGCAGCCTCCACTGAGCATAATATAGCATAACATAATGTAGCATAGCATAGCATAATAGTAACATAGCATAATATAGCATAACATAACATAGCATAATATAACACAATATAGCATAACATCACATAATATTGCATGTCCAGTTAAAAAGTATAGTGCTCCGTGGATCAAATCAAATTTTATTTGTCACATGCGCTGAATACAACAGGTGTTGACCTTACTGTGAAATGCTTACTTACAATCCCTTAATCAACAATGCAGTTGTAAGAAAATAGAGTTAAGAAAATATTTACTAAATAAACTAAAGTTTAAAAAAGTAACACAATAAAATAACAATAACGAGGCTGTATAGAGGGGGTACCGGTACCAAGTCAATGTGCGAGGGTACAGGTTACTCGAGGTAATTGAGGTAACTTGTACATGTAGGTAGGGGTAAAGTGACTATGCATAGATAATAAACAGCGAGTAGGGGGGGGGGGGGGACAATGCATTTAGGTCGGGTGGCCATTTGATTAATTGTTCAGCAGTCTTATGGCTTGAGGGTAGAAGCCCTTAAGGAGCCTTTTGGACCTAGACTAGGCGCTCCAGTACCGCTTGCCGTGCGGTAGCAGAGAGAAAAGTCTATGACTTGGGTGACTGGAGTCTTTGACAATTTTTGGGGCCTTCCTCTGACACTGCCTAGTATAGAGGTCCTGGATGGCAGGAAGCTTGGCCCCAGTGATGTACTGGGCCGTACGCACTACCCACTGTAGCGCCTTACGGTCAGATGCCGAGCAGTTGCCATACCAGGCGATGATGCAACCGGTCAGGATGCTCTCGATGGTGCAGCTGTAGAACATTTTGAGGATCTGGGGACCCATGCCAAATCTTTTCAGTCTCCTGAAGGGGAATAGGCATTGTCGAGCCCCCTTCACAACTGTCTTGGTGTGTTTGCACCATGATTGACACATTGAAGTCTTATACACTTATTTCTAATGTGGTCCTCCAGACTGTCCTTACTAATGCCAGTTTCTCTCTTGGGATTGTTGACCATCCATCCTTCTCTCCACCCTGGTTTACTGCTTTAGCTTCTGATTCCACACACCCGCTACACCCTCCAGATCAACCTCTTGGCCCGGGCATTTCTGATAGCTGATGAAGGAGTTTTCACTAAGGTAGGCTACTGAGTGGACTGTTTCGATAGAAGTGTGTGGTGTCCATATTAGGAATGACACGTTGGCTTGCTGGGAGGTTCACTATCTCTCATAGAACCAGTGTAATATTGCAGCTTAGTTAAAGTACATTATAACGGAAGTTGTGTCAGAGTCAGCATACATTCAGTTGTATTTTTTTTTTGTGAACCTACAGTACCACCAAGTAACTTAATATATGCCATTTAGCAGACGCTTTTATCCACAGCGACTTAGTCATGCGTGCATATATTTTACGTATGGGTGGACCCGGGAATCGAACCCAATACCCTGGCGTTTCAAGAGCCATGCTCTACCAACTGAGCTACAAAGGACCACATCATACTTGCTGGGAGGTTCACTATCTCATAGAACCAGTGTAATATTGCAGCTTAGTTAAAGTACATTATAACGTTACATAATTATGTAATCATGTAACTTTTTAAGTGAGTATAGGTGTATATTTTATTAAAGCTTTTCCCCTAACCCCTGTATCATCGGACGTTGTAGTTTGCCGCTTCGGGCGGAGAGGGGATGATTGAGATCCTGAGGAGATCTGTGGCCTCATTGACCTACAGCTCCCTCTGTATGCCGGAAGACATCACTGCCCGAGGTCTGGAGTCAGTCCCCAACAACTACTACAGGGATGATGGACTCAAGCTGTGGAACATCATCCACAGGTAGGCTACGACAGAGCAGACCTACGTGGTGGTAGTACAGTATAATCCGCTGGTAGAATCTACAGTGTGAGCATAGCTCTACATAGATATGATATCTTCTTCCTTTGTTCTTCCGTCTTCGCTATAGGTTCGTAGAGGGAGTGATTGGTTTCTATTACAAGAGTGACTCAGAGGTCCGGGAAGACCAGGAACTACAGAACTGGATCAAGGATATCTTTGACCATGGCTTCCTGGCCCAAGAATGCACAGGTGACTATGTACAGGGTAATAGGTGGGGTGTGGTAATGACGTATGGTGAAATGCCTTGTTTTTAACAATGTTTTTTGTGTCTGGACCGTAACTTCCCTGGCATAACTCACAACTTCACGTATGGTGAAATGTCTTGTTTTTAACAATGTTTTTTGTGTCTGGACCGTAACTTCCCTGGCATAACTCACAACTTCCATGGACTTGACTGTCTTATTAGTAACAGTCCACCCAGCTCCCCTGGCATAACTCCATTCATCGCACACCTCTTTCTCGGTTCTTACCTTTCTGTCCAGGAATCCCTCAGTCTTTCTCCACTGTGCCAGAGGTCGTCAAGTTCGTCACCGTGGTGATCTTCACCAGCTCAGGCCAACATTCTGCTGTCAACTCTGGACAGGTGGGTGTAGCGTAGCCCGTATACTTTTTTTTCAAGGGTTTTATTCAGTGGTGTAAAGTACTTAAGTAAAAATACTTTAAAGTACTACTTAAGTAGTTTTTTAGGTTATCTGTACGTTACTTTACTATTTATATTTCCCCCAACTTTTACTTTTACTTCACTACATTCCTAATGAAAATAATGTACTTTTTACTCCATTCATTTTCCCTGACACCCAAAAGTACTCGTTCGATTTTGACAAAAAAATGGTCCAATTCACACACTTATGAAGAGAACATCCCTGGCGGACTCACTAAACACACATGCTTTGTTTGTAAATTATGTCTGAGTGTTGGAGTGTGCTCCTGGCTATCCATCAATAAAAAATACAAATAAAATGGTGCCGTCTGGTTTTCTTAATACAGGGAATTATAAATGGTGTATACTTTTACTTTTGATACTTAAGTACATTTGAGCAATTCCATTGACTTTTGATACATAACTATATTTAAAACCAAATACTTTTAGACTTTTACTCAAGTAGTATTTTACAGGGTGACTTACTTTTATTTGAGTCATTTTCTATTAAAGTATCTTTACTTTTACTCAAGTATAACAATTGAGTACTTTTTCTACCACTGGTGTTATTAAGCTAAATCTAAGCGCTACTGCCATTATCTGCCTCATCTATAATTTAGGAAGAGACATATTTGTTAAAATGTTGCAAGGTTTTGCAGTATTCCTTGCCTCTATCATATCATCATTTCAGAATACCACCATATCGGACGTCAGTAATAATCAGTCATTCTTCTTCATGTTACAGTATGACTATGGTGGCTGGATGCCCAACACCCCCATCTCCCTGCAACAGCCACCTCCCACCACTAAGGGGCAGTCTACTGAGCGCACCATGCTGGAGACCTTCCCAGATGTCGGCACCACAGCACAGGGCATGTCTACCATGTGGCTCCTTAGCAAGCAATCCAGTGACTTTGTGAGTCTGTCATCTTTCATGATCTATTATCAATGTAATCTAGGCACAAAATACTATATTTAGGTACAAAATATCCTATTTACGTGTGCTTTTTAATGTTAATGATATTGTTACTAGCAATATTTCTCTAACTTCGATTATTCTCCATATGCAGGTGGCCCTTGGCCAGTACCCCGAAGAGCACTTCAACGAGGTACCACCCTGCAGGATGATCGAGAAATTCCAGGCGGAGCTGAAAGTCTTCAGCGAGACCATCAATGCCAGGAACTCTGGGCTACCAGTGCCATACACCTACATGGACCCTGCTGTGGTGGAGAACAGCGTGGCCATTTAGATAAGTCAAGGGCCTAGACCAGGGTCCAGTTCATTAGGCACTAATTGGAAGAAAACCGTGGAACTACCTGGACTTTTCCAATAAGAAAGGTTTATTTTGGTTGTCCTTTGTGTATCGTTTTAAAAAGTGTTTTTGTTGCGTGCCCTGATGAACAAGACCCAGGCCTTGTAATGATTCTGGAGGCATGCACCAGTAAACATGCCGCACCTTCAATCTATATATTTTTTTATTGAGCATAACCATTTTTTTTTGCTTCGCTAAACTAATGTCCCAATTCTATCAGATAAAGGGAAATCGCACTGTGGGTTCAGTCAGAATGTTATCGCTGTATCATAAGTGTTAACTGTGTTAAACCAACACACACTTTCACATGATGTCCCTCTCACGGACAAAGAAAACTTGTTGACGTTATTATTACCTTTGTACGTGTTAATATATGTTAAGAAATACAGGGTCTTTCTTACAGATTAATTTCTGGTGCCATATAACTACGGACTACAGGGATTGCTGGCAAAAATGAGCACTCCTGCTAAATGGTGTGACACTGAAATGTTGATTAACAGTAAACAAGTGTGAGAGAACAATAGGTGTGACTCTCGTTTACAATTTAAAGCTAATATTCTTTATCTCCGGTCTTCTTGTGATATTTGCCTGCACCTCATCTCATTTTGGTTGAAGCGCTGTCGACCTCCCTCATGTATTAAATAAAAAAAGACATGCATAAAACGATGAGGAAATGATGAATTTATATGAATTCCAGATATTTTGTTTAACACAACTCTCATTTCCTGATTTTTTTAAGTCACCTTTTTCATACCGACCTGAACCAAACTGGTTCCAGTGACATAACCTGACCATCTCAGTACAGCCTTGTTTGGCCTGGCTCGGTTTGGCCCAGTACACAGCAAATGAGATCAGAATTTTAACACCCACATTGTTAAATATAACACTTTCTTAGAAATTCTATTTGACCCACCGAAATGGTGTTAAATTAACAGTTTTCAATGTGTTGATAAACTAACACCCCCAGAGTGTTGGGTCCCTAACACCATGGGTGTTTCAAATTCCAACTTAAATGAACACTTTATTAGAGCTGATGCTGTTATAGTTACTCAGTGTTAGGGAATAACACATGTAGTGCTACAGTATTTTTGGGGGGTGTTGTTTTAAAACTGTAGGGTGTAAATCCTTATTTGCATATTTCCCAGGGTGCTTTTCGAGTGAATGTTAGTTACCCACCGATGACTGTGTTTGTTAGTGACAGAGACATGATTGTTGCATTCATATCAGACCTGCAAGCAATGTTTCCTCTAAGCAGCTCCCCGGGCGCGCCGAGTAGAAGAAATATCAGCCGGCGCAGAGAAATATGAGATTGAACTCAACTTTCTAGATTTTTCCACATTAGTTAACACTATCAACATTTTCCCTTTACTGTGGGAATTGTGATTGAATCGACGCAATATTAGCCACTTTCAATGCAACATACCGAAACAAAACAAATTATGCAAGACTTAGTATGCAAAACTAATTATACAAGAGGTTTTGTTGTAGGCAGAACGCATCGGAGTAGGATTCTATTGCACTCAGGCCCATACTGTAAACAGACCGGTGCGCCATAACCAATCAGTGCTGCAGTAGGCCTATATGCAAATAGACCATTGCCATATATGGATCTGTGCCATTCACTTTGTACTGGACTGTTTACAGCATGAGCGGTCTTGAGTAGATGCGCTTGTTCTGAGATCAGAGCGAGAGCCACATGTGCACATTTGTTCATATCCTTTACTAGTTAGTGAGTTATTAGCCCAGTTATAGATCATTTGTAGTCAGCAATAGGGGAGTGGTTGCTTCCTACAAGAGCACAAAACGTGGACATTTCTAGACATCTTTGAAAAGCCAGTCAAGTAAAGAGCGTTTCCTTTTGTCTTAAAGGGGCAGTGTTGTATTTTAAAACAGACTTGAATAAGCTAAGTAGCCAATAGGCAGAGGGTAGCATAATTTGTCTGATTCTCTGTAATAATGGTATGGGAATAATGATGCATTTTATTTTGTAAAGTGGTTACTTGCATCAAACAACACAACATTTTCAGTCACCTCCTTGTCTGAAGGACAAGTGGATAAACAGGTTAATGTCAAGCCCTTCGTGTTTTGTTTTCAATATACAGTAAGCCTACATTGAACACCACATATTGGCTGCTACTTTACACTGAATGATAGAACTGCTATTTCCATGTTAAAATGTTATGGGATGCATTTTCTCTGGTAGGCCTACATTATGATCAAATAACCACAGTTGACCACTGTTAAAACTAACTTACAGCGGGTACAGCCTTAGTGTTCACAGTAAACGAACGCTGGAAGTTGAACAGAATTTTCACAAAGTTCAAGTTTGCGCTCAGCAGACCTGAAATGCATGCAAGTCAAAATATGCTGGCTTGTGAAGTAATTTGTAATTCCTATTGGAATCCAGCCATAGGGAGGATATTCAACAATAGGAACTTTACCAGGTTCCCATAGAGCAATTGTAATGACAGTCCACCACAACATACCTGAGAGTTTCCTGATTAGTAAGGGGTAGTCTGTGTTTAATTTGGTTGTGTATTAAAAACACAGTTTGAGATCATTGTGCAGGGATTTCACCAGTGGTTGAATGGGGAATTGGAATTCCTGGGAAAATGTTGTTACCAAGGGGGGCGGAGCTTAGCGCAGGGGTAAATTGAATGCAAGCTTCACAAATGTTTTTTTTATTGTTAAAACATTTCTTGACTATCTATGACATGTTATTGTCACACCCTGATCTGTCTTTTTTTTTTTTTTTGGGGGGGGGGGGAGTGGATCAGCTTAATATTGCAGATAGATTGTATCTTCTATCAATGTAATTGTCTGCATCACTTCCAATCCCCCATGTTTATATATATATATATATATATATATATATATATATATATATATATATACTCCCCTTTATTACTTTTCAACCCCGCCATCCTTTCCCTACTTGGAGTAATATATATATATATATATATATACAGTGGGGGAAAAAAGTATTTAGTCAGCCACCAATTGTGCAAGTTCTCCCACTTAAAAAGATGAGAGAGGCCTGTAATTTTCATCATAGGTACACGTCAACTATGACAGACAAAATGAGAAAAAAAAATCCCAGAAAATCACATTGTAGGATTTTTTATGAATTTATTTGCAGATTATGGTGGAAAATAAGTATTTGGTCAATAACAAAAGTTTCTCAATACTTTGTTATATACCCTTTGTTGGCAATGACACAGGTCAAACGTTTTCTGTAAGTCTTCACAAGGTTTTCACACACTGTTCCTGGTATTTTGGCCCATTCTTCCATGCAAATCTCCTCTAGAGCAGTGATGTTTTGGGGCTGTCGCTGGGCAACACGGACTTTCAACTCCCTCCAAATATTTTCTATGGGGTTGAGATCTGGAGACTGGTTAAGCCACTCCAGGACCTTGAAATGCTTCTTACGGAGCCACTCCTTCGTTGCCCGGGCGGTGTGTTTGGGATCATTGTCATGCTGAAAGACCCAGCCATGTTTCATCTTCAATGCCCTTGCTGATGGAAGGAGGTTTTCACTCAAAATCTCACGATACATGGCCCCATTCATTCTTTCCTTTACACGGATCAGTCGTCCTGGTCCCTTTGCAGAAAAACAGCCCCAAAGCATGATGTTTCCACCCCCATGCTTCACAGTAGGTAGGATGTTCTTTGGATGCAACTCAGCATCCTTTGTCCTCCAAACACGACGAGTTGAGTTTTTACAAAAAAAAACTATTTTGGTTTCATCTGACCATATGACATTCTCCCAATCCTCTTCTGGATCATCCAAATGCACTCTAGCAAACTTCAGACGGGCCTGGACATGTACTGGCTTAAGCAGGGGGACACGTCTGACACTGTAGGATTTGAGTCCCTGGCGGCGTAGTGTGTTACTGATGGTAGGCTTTGTTTACTTTGGTCCCAACTCTCTGCAGGTCATTCACTAGGTCCCCCCGTGTGGTTCTGGGATTTTTGCTCACCGTTCTTGTGATCATTTTGACCCCACGGGGTGAGATCTTGCGTGGAGCCCCAGATCGAGGGAGATTATCAGTGGTCTTGTATGTCTTCCATTTCCTAATAATTGCTTCCACAGTTGATTTCTTCAAACCAAGCTGCTTACCTATTGCAGATTCAGTCTTCCCAGCCTGGTGCAGGTCTACAATTTCGTTTCTGGTGTCCTTTGACAGCTCTTTGGTCTTGGCCATAGTGGAGTTTGGAGTGTGACTGTTTATATATATATATACATATACATACACCATTTTTTTTGCTCCTGAACTTCTTCTACTCTCAACCTCTCCGATCATTTTCATGATGTCCATCCGGTTTGCTTCTATATGCCATATCTTTCTAACTGTGCTCTTTCCCAAAAGCTCCCAACATACAACCTATATACTTATTATGGACACAGTATGCTTACATTATTAGCTATCTTTGTTATTATTTGTTGTTATTTGTTATTAGTCCCATCCTTCAACTCTATTCAATACCTCCCATCTATCTCTTAACACCATCCATATAGGATTTCTATTTGCCATATATATTTCAACCGTACTGTGATGTTTTACAAAAGTTCTGAACTTTTCTATTCTCATTGCTTCTACAGATTGTGAATTTAAAAAAACATTTTTGCTAAAAGTATTATTATATTATTGACTATGACTTTTCAGATCACCCAGTAATGCTATCTGCAAGGTTAGCTCCAGGTAAATATTGCAATCCTTTAGCCATTCCTGGACCTGTGTCCAAAAACAAGCTACAAATGGACAGAACCAAAACAAATGATCTAATGATTCTGTCTCTTCACAGCAAAATCTGCAGAGCTGGGAAGATTGTATCCCCATATAAATAACATTATATTGGTAGCAAGAATTTTATATAATAATTTAAATTGAAAGATTCTAATTTTTGAATCCGGTGTTGTTTTGCGTGTCAGTTCATTAACACTATGCCATGGGATCGGTACGTCAAAGATCTCTTCCCAACTATTTTGCAATCTATATGGGACGGCTGTCAATCCTTTGGTCCTTAAGTGAAACTGATATACTTTTTTATTTATCACAGTTTTCCTTAACCAATTATGTTCTTTAATGCAAGGCCGACAGACAAGTTCCTTACTTTCTCCCCCTTCCACTTTCCTCTTCCACTTTTGCGGTAAGGCTGCAATTATTTGGTTGTAATTTTGGGTAGAGCAGACATTTCCATATGTTTTGTTAGCTGCATGTGCGACATAACTCCACCAGTCCTACCGATGATATCATTTACGAAGATTATACCTTTTTTAAACATTCTGTCAAAAAATAAAGTTTTTTTGTCAATTAGTATATTTGAATTTAACCACAATATTTGTTGCATTATTTGTTCTGTCGTTTCTGGAGGATTAAATTGAAATTGCAACCAACTTTCTATGGCTTGTTTTAGAAATAGTGATATTTGGGAGATGATTTCCTTTTCAAATAACTGCAAATGAGTTGTTGTAATCTGAATAAAGGGAAAAAGGCCTTTCTTGAACATTGGGTGAGACAATCTTACTAATTTGCTTGAGAACCAGTTCGGATTTAAGTATAACTTTTGCATGACTGAAGCTTTTAGTGATAGGTCTAATGCTTTAATATTTAATAATTTCTGTCCTCCGAATTCATATTCATTATATAAATATGCCCTTTTAATTTTGTCTGGCTTACCGTTCCAAATAAAATGGAATATATTTTTCTCATATAATTTAAAAAACTGTTCGCTAGGCGTAGGCAAGACCATAAGCAAATAGGTAAACTGGGATAATACTAAAGAGTTAAT